TTCTGCCTTGGGGGTATGACTCACACTCCTTTCAACGAAGATGCTGACGATGATGCTTACCGACCTGAACTGCCTAATCTATGAGAACGGACTCCTTCGTATACCCCCACCCCTGGTTACCCAGACCGCGAATGGACGCTATCAATAATCTGCCCTTCACCCGATTCTGAGGACGTAGTTGGTGAATGTTTACCTTCCTTACATCAACATCTATCAGACCAGCAGAGTTGTGATTTTGTGGTTGAATGTACAGATGGAAGTGCATGGGATGAATAATCTCCGGACTGTATCCACTGCCAGATCGAGTGGAGGGTTAAATTGAACAATCGAGTTGTGGTGAAGGATACAAAAGAAGACCTTATTTAGCCACGTAGATTCTACTGGGAAAAGATAAAAGAGGATGCTCGTAATATTCTAGGGCGGAAGACAGCCTGTGGCCGACGGGTGAGACTAGATGATACTGACTTGGTGTTATCGGTGAACTCTCAACGGAATATTGACAAATACTTTGAAGGTCCTAGTGTTTTGGATAGCGGTGGAGAAACTGCTGCTAGCGTGGGCCTATCTTTTCCGTTGTGGTAAGAAGATCTAGCTCTAGATATCGATCAATTATATAGAAGACAGTGGATCTCTTCCTTCTAGAACGGACAAGCGAGGAAAGTCATCGGTGACTACACGGATGCTTACTGACCGAGACGCTCAGATTGACGCCGAGCAGGTGTCCGGCCAATATTCCGTCTGGCGCGATGTGTATCGTGTTGTGCGATGTCCTGGGCCTCCATGTCGCCACGAAGGACAATACTGCTGGCAAGATCCACCATAGATTGAAGACTCACTATCTGAAGGCCCTCGTCAAATATGTGGAGCAAGGTGGGGTTCTTGAGACCTACGCTGATGTCTCTGATAGTGTTCGCGAGCAGCTCTATGCCGAGGAGAACCAGCGACTGGACAAAGAAAAGAAAGCTGCGGAGAATTCTACAACGGGTTCAGTGTGTCCTCCGATAAATATCAATGTCCTTCCAGCCGGATCATCTCAATAATCGATACAGTCTCCTGCTAATGATGCCATGGCTACCGGTCCGGGCTGTATTGAATAAATCATAATTGACGGCCTGCTAGATGTCGCTGTGGACGAGTATACTGAATGGCAGCAATCGTGGGTGAGCAACGAGGCTTTCAGGAAGAACATCAATAAAGCACGCGATGTGACTCTCGAAAACTGTCTCGACCTCATGCAGATTTATGAGGATCAAGACCCAGGTTTCTTTGTGAAAGTAGGTGCCGCGGCGGTTCGTTCGTGACATCGGCCTTTGGGTGAAACGATGCAAAGAAGCGACTTGCAACGAAAATACAGATATTTTATGTATAGCATGGATCGAAATCAGTTTCACCACTTCGCTCACGTAAAATCTTTCTCTATTCCAAAACACGCTATACGTACCTAAACTAGTTGGTCTTCCCCTGAACCCTTGTCTTGGCAGTAATCCAATACAATCGTAAATAACACGATAATTATAGCCCCCGTTTTGAGTCTGTATGGTCTGTCAGGTGCCTGGACTCCTCTTTTTGGGCAAACTTATCAAACAGGAGCATGCCTGCCTGGTTAGTCCGCAAATGGCTGGTAGAGAGCGAATACACCAGCACCCCTGCTCATCCCCCCTCTCACTGAGCAAACGGCTTACGATCAGTAGAGACTTAGGCCAATTTGGAAGCAGCTTGCACCCCAGGTAGTTTAGCCAATAGTTACTTGGGTTCTGAGACTCAGCCTCGTTTTTAGTTCTGCGCTAGCGCTCTCGCCACTAGCTTAGAGGGTTTGGCAAAGTCTATTAACGTGGGAGATTGGCCCCAATCGCGCTGCACTAGGTCGGAATAAGCTAGGCGTTTCTTTTCTGTAACATCGCGTTAAAGGGGTAAGACTGCTTACCCACATCTTCTGTGCCCCCTGCTTAAATACAACAACATGGGCACGCGAGGACTGGTTTTCAGGTACCTTTTGATTTTGACATTCCTCGATTTTGACATTCCTCCCAAAGAGGGTTCAGAAGATGCATCGCAATCAGATCGCTCAATATTTGCTATCCAGCCTGGCTTTCGCAATTGCAGTGATAGCTTATGACTCCTCGCTCAACTTCCGACCGGACAATGTGACTTTAAATGGGCTATACCACTGGGTTGGGTCGTAAGCATTAGTTAATCTCCACTTTTATGTCAAATCTCATTCTTATCAAATAGATATTACAATGGAACCACGCGGGTTGAGATCACGCCCTTTTCCGGATTTGCAGCGAAGGAGAAAGAGCAGCATGATGGAGCTTGGTGCCCGAACCTGCAAGGCAAAAGCTTTAACACCACATTCGCTACACTTCTTGCTCTCACCGAGCCTAGCAAATACAATGCCCCCAACATTCCTGTAAATGCCTTTTTCACCCTTTGGGACTATGACTATGACTTTTCTGTGGAGGATTATGATGCGCTTTTCGAGTTTCCTTGGGAATGGGGACTGTTTTCTTCTAGGTGAGTAAAGGTGCAGTATCTACCGGGACATCTTCTGATACTTGCCTAGTCCAGTGTACGAATATTATGCATTGGAGGAAACTAAAACGAGGTCCTACTTCAACATCACACTTGAGAAAACCGACAGCGCGCCCTACAACCTCTCAGCAACAATTAGTGAATATGGAACGCTTGACCTGCTCGATGGCAAATCCTTGGATTTCAATATGACCGCCTGTAATTCTTCTAGAGAGGTTACCTGGACTAGCATCCTGATTTCTGACTACTGGTGGAGCCAAATGGCTTCTAACATTTCCTACCCAGATCCTAGTCTTGATATCCAGTTTGACAGCAGGAACGCAAACCTTACTTTGGATGGATATATTTCAGCTCGCTCTCCTAACTTATATGGAGCCGATACTAAAATCGAAGCAAAGATCAAAGTGTCATTTTTGGGGGTGAACGACGCTTATCGTTCAGATCTTCTTAAAAATGATAGCTCGACTCCGACTTGGGTAAGGACCATTGGGTTTGGTCCTGGCAAGAGCAATGGATCGAGCAACAGGGAATCCCCTAGCGTACTGTCACTTCTGGCTTGTGCCTCTGCTTTATTTTTTGTTTCCATATATATATAATCGGATTTGCACTGTCAAGAAAGAACCCTGCAAAGATGGCTGAGTAACTTCTGTCGATCTGAGAGCCGGTACTTTACCACTAGAGATTGAATGATTCAGCCGCCACCAATTCCCCGCATGTTTAGTCGTATACCGGATCAACTTGGAATCACGTTTCAAGAAAACCGTCGCCCCTGAGATCTAGAGATACTTCACCAATAGTCTTTCAGATAGTTCAATCAATCAATAAATTCATGACAATTGGTTCCCTTAGTACTAGCGTATACGGAACTCCCCAGAACTTGGCTCTCCTAGGAATTATGAATGCGACCCTGGGGGCATGAGCAGTGTTGCTAATACAAATCGCTTTAAGGGACTTCCATTCTTCGTGACGCTTTCTTGTGGCACGAGCTGCCTTGGTGAATTCAGGTACGATAGTTGCCTTGCAGCGGCACGAAGAACGATCTAAACTCGCCTGGCCGCCCTTTTTACTAGGCCATTGTCATCATATCATCATCCTCCTAATGCCTTGTCGGGCGGCCGCATGAATTAGATTTGGGCCGAAGATATTTAGAAATTACCTTATGTAACTCACAGCCGTTTTATGCTTTGGTTTGAAGCTTTCGGTACTGTTTGTAGCCACAAAACCTTACTATTTATGTCATAATGGATCTCTGCTTGTATGATCTATGGGGTGTTGGAATAAAGTATTGTGATCTAGTATTATTAAAGGCTTATTCAAAAAGGTCAATCTTTATGCAATGTGGCCATCAGAATAGTAATTTTAGTGCATGGCGTATTCAGTTATTATACAGTTTATCTTCATCGAGATCTTGAAGTTACTTAAAGTAAACTATGACATTCACGGACGTAATAAAAAATAGTTGTAGACATTTATTTCCCAAAATTATCCTTGATCAATAAATTGTCATCGGCCAACATTATCATAATACTACTCTTTTCAGGGCAATCTACCTGGTATTTATGTTCCCTGTAGTGGAAAGCTTATCAGGTATCAACTCTGCTTGAACTAGAGTGAACTTTGAAGATCCCAAAGTCAACCAGGTACACACACACACACACACACACAATTCATTAACGCCCGGCGGCGGAGCCGAGAGGGCAACTATCACTAATCTACCCTCGGCGAAGTCCAATACGGCCTGAACCGTCTTCGCCCTTGAGACGGTGTCTGGTTTACCTTTCTCACCTTCATTTGAGCCTCCCAGCAGACTCGACACGCTGCCCAGCGCGTCCCCAACTTTTCTTCTCAGTTCAACCCGCGGCTCTTGCAGGTTTCGACACTCCAACAACACGTGAGTGACCGTCTCCTGCGCGCCGCACTCGCACAGATCGTCTTCACGAAAGCCGAATTTCTTCGCGTAAGTGGATAACCAGTTGTGGCCCGTGCGTAGTTGCGTTAGCAGATATGCACGATTCCTGGGCAAATTCCCGTAGAGCTTTCTCGTGTACCGTGCCGGTAGGTTCCCGTCAATCTTCCGTAGGTGCGTGCCTTTGGTGCTTTCCTTCCACTCCTGTCCCCATTGGGCAGAGACGTACAGTGGTATTCGAAATCAGTTTTACCTGCAATCTCTCTCTTTTTGTTTCCTGGGCCCTATCACATCAAGGCACTAGTCCGTATTAGGATATCGTTCCGTCGCTATCGTTTGCCCATGTATCCTCAATGAGTCAGCGTAAATTACAGTAAGTTCCATAGGTTTCTACCCCTCGTGGTTTTTCTGATTTTTCAAATTGACAACACGGATCGATTCCCCCAGTGACCGGAAATACAGAACGCAACAATCGTTACAGCCCACAAGTCCTTTATCCACCTTCGGCTCCAGTGTGAGCAACCTTTCAACCCAGAGTGCCATGGAAGCCTATACTCACACTATGCAGGTCCATGCACTGTCACAGATATCGTCTGTTGGCCTAATCGAAGATCACGAGATCAGCGACAGGAACTCTGACGATATCCCCTCCAGTAAACAAACTCCACAGCCCATCATGCATTCCTCCATCTTCGACCTTAGTGTGAGCAACCTTGCAACCCAGAGTGCCATGGAAGCCTATAATCACGCCATGCAGGCCTATACACTATACCAGATATCGTTTCTCAAACCAAGTGAACACCTTGGAATCGGTGACAGGGACCCTGATGATGTCCCCACCACCGGTGTGCTATGCCAAAGTCATGGCCCTCCTATCGCAGTTGAGTTCGAAGAAGCCGCTAGACAAGCTGTCAATGGTTTATAATCAACCCAAGTTTAGCTTATACGACACTCTCGTTAAGCAAACCTAGGATAGCGATGATGCTACCTATGGACGTTTGGTAACAGAATACGTTGATATGTAACTTATCTTTCTCTTAAGACAGGCCGTCGAGATTATCTAGGAAATAGGTTTCGGCGGCACTATATCGACTTGTGGACGCATGCTTTATGATTCCGTTTATTGCATTCTGAAGACATTTCTATATTCTTTGTTTCCTGTACAGTACGTCCCGAAACTGGTGCAACCGCCTACACTCTTTAAGTGATTATTTAGCCCCACTGCCAAGAAATGCTAGTCTATATTGGGAGTTCTTCCGACGGCTGCATGGGTATTTCCTCGTACGAAGGTTACGTAATAATCTCAAGCATGTATTAGCATGTAAATTTCAATACATGTGACACCTCCATGCCCCTCATCCGAAGCAGCTTTCCTCGGGAAGCACACTTGACAATCAATCACGAGTGGTCCAACCAAAGATGGCTCCAAACCTAGCTCCTTCCAAGCATGAGCTTATTCATGACATGATCCACAGTGGCGAACTATCTATAACTGAGATGGCACAGGCCGCTGGTTGCAACAAGAGCACCATTTCAAGAATCTCTGCTAATATAAGAATGTTTGGCAGCGTCAAAGCACCGCCAAATAAAGGCGGACGACCCCGTAGTATCACTCCAATTATGCTCGAGGCTTTGTGCGACCATCTGGTTGAAAAACCTGCCTTATATCTGGAAGAGATGGTGGTTTTTCTGTGGGACGAATTCGCTCTTCAAGCAACGAAATCTAGCGTGAGTCGCGCCCTTCAGTCCAAAGGCTGGTCAAAAAAGACTGCTCGGATCAAGGCCCGAGAACGCAACCTTGACCTTCGGGACGAATACCATCATTTCATATCAGACTTCAAGTCTTACCACCTTGTCTATGTCGATGAATCTGGATGTGATAAACGAATAGGCTTCCGGCGAACGGGCTGGTCCCCCCTTGGCCACGCACCGGTTCAAGTGTCGAAGTTCCATCGTGATCAGCGTTATCAAATTCTGCCCGCGTATGCGCAAGATGGCATCGTTATGTCTCGAGTTTTCCAGGGTTCAACTGACGCATTCGTCTTTGAGGATTTCATCGAGCAGCTTCTCCAGCACTGTGGGAGATGGCCCGAGCCGAAGTCTGTGCTAGTGATGGATAATGCATCCTTTCATCACTCGGACAGAATTGAAAAGATATGCTTAGAAGCTGGCGTAAAGCTAGTGTATTTGCCTCCATATTCCCCAGATTTGAATCCTATTGAGGAGTTTTTTGCTGAGCTCAAGGCCTTTATCCGGCGTAATTGGCAATCCTACGAAGAAAATCCAGAGCAAGGATTCGATAACTTCCTCGAATGGTGTGTTGATGTTGTTGGCGCGAGAGAGAAAAGTGCGGAGGGACATTTTCGACACGCTGGTCTAGCTGTAGAGATATAGCGCTACTATGGCTCAATCACGAGCATTATTGCGAGCTTCGTTTTTTTGAACTCCTGCTACATCCAGAGATACGGAATGCATGAATTCTTCGACATACCAGTGTCATCATCGTATAGTGCCGAGCGTTATAGCATATCAGGAAACTAAGAGGTACTCTTTCAAACCATATTCATATGATATGCTAAGCCCAAAATTGCTTATTCCGTATTCAAAAATTTGTTTTAGGTTTGCATGGTAGAAAGGACTGGGAGACGCGCGCGTCGCACGCTTCTGCCCTGAAACGAAGGGCTGTAAATATTCGTGGAGCGTGAACAAACACTTATATATGTTGGAGAAACCAGATAGAAAGTTGATAGGGGCTAAGCGATGAAATCTATGCTTCTGACTGACTGATAATTGCGATTTGAAACAGAGAAAACAAACAATCTAATAGAGTTTGACCTCGGATCTACTGAGCTCATATATGTAAACTGTTTTCGAGTTCTACTTTACTACTGTATATCACGATGAAGAGGATATTATCGGATAGTAATTTGGCATAATGCATGTCACTATTCTGAGTAGACTTTGCTCGCCATTCAATGAGGTCAATATTGTTTCAGGTTCAAATCCCTGGACGTGAGACCTGCTGGGTGGGGCCAGTCCCCGCATCAATTTTGGAGCTATCAACCTTGAGTCCCCCGTTGACCTGGAGCGCAGGGGGGGTTTAGTGGCACGGGTTAGGGGCCTTTTAGCAACTTAGACCTATTAGCGATCCTATTGCTGCACCCGGATGATGCACTTCGCTACGTTTCCGTTACTGTGGGAGATTCTGTCGGGCCGACTTTAAACCCGATATGAGTCAGCTCATCAAATGTCTCCGCCCTCCATTTATTGCAGCACTCCGCACTTTATTGCCTCCGCACTTTATTGCCATTATGGAATCCTTTTAGAACGTTCTCTCATCCCTTCGTACCTCCCTTTACTTTGGTCTCAACATCCCAGGATGTTACTCTAGGTCTGTGAACCATAAAGTACAATTTAAAAACAATTTATGTAACCCCGGGCACATACTCTTTCTTTCTCGGCCCGTAACCGAAAACTGCATTAAGCCACATTTGGCTTAGCCGTAAACAGCTCATAGAACATGACACGTATTCAAGCGAAACAATCATCCACCCAGGCCTGTTAATTTTGTGACACGCACGATACATACGATTTACTGCTTCATGATTGCTCATCCCACTGAGCACGTGTTCATCACGCTGCAGGAAAAGAAGATTCACCTTCCGAAAGAGCTTCTTTCACCATGAACTGTATTTCGCTTATTGATGAACCAGACCGCACTATATTGATGATACGATCGACGTTATCGTCACTAGAACGTCGTATTGCCTCCAACAGGTCATCCAAGAAACCTCGGTAGTATCTCAGTTCTTCTTCTATCTTTCTTTCGTAGCTCTTGCGTCGCTTGTCAGAACTCTCTTCGAAAATACAACGAGAGTTGCGTTTCGTACACTCTAAGCACGGGATTCCAGAAATGCACTATTTTCAACATGTCAAAACCAAGCAGCTAAATAAAGCACTATTTTTAAGATTTCTTACCTTTGTTCGTCGACGCTGACATTCAGTGCAAGCGGTTGATCGTCTCTTTATTAAGACTTCGTTTACAGTGTAATTTTCTGATTCGTCAACTACAGAAGCTGTAGTACTTGGCATATGAGGTAGAATAGGTCTGAAGCGGGATGCCGACATCTTGTATCGATGGCTTGGTACGAAGGTGGAAGTGAGCGAGGGGTTAAAAAGTGTGGGATGAAAGGTGACGGCAAATATATGTCAGGTGATGCAACAAACTTACTACGAAAGTTACTTGGTTTCGTTGTTACAATTGCTTCCGCGATGCAATACAGTACTGAATCTTCATGCGTGGCCCGTGGTTTCGGGTACGGACCGAGAAACAAAGCATATACGCCTTGGGGTAAAATGAATACGTATTCTACTGTACATATGTCTGGCTAAAGCTACTGTATTCAAAAATCAAGACATCCTGCTTGTTGATTTTCCTTGCTCTTTCTGAACCAAGGTCCATTTCATCAATCTCTTACGTATCCTTTGTCATTGGACAACAACCGAACAACCGTGCACATTCCTGCCCGCATCACATGACTCAACAAGGCAAATGATTCTTTCGGCTCTCAAGGCCGTCCGTACGAGCAGCAGGTTCCTCGAAAGCAATGCAGCAAGGGATTACTGACAATCCGGGTTCCGATTGGAGGATATCTATACCATCCAATGAACATATCCTTCATGTTTGTGGTCGTTAGTCTTTGTGCCGGTTATATATACGTTTGACACTAAACAAAATATTTAAATAAGCATGCCTGTTCAGACCACAAATCTCATCCCTCCTCACAACAAAAAAATCCTCTAGCAACACGGGTACCTCAGATTCAATTTCCATACATAATGTCAATTTACTTTTGGGGGGTTCGATGGTCCATTGTCATCATCAGCTGATGATGACAAACGTGCGTTGCTTTCAGGCTCCAAAGGTGAGTAATTAAGCTGTTTCGCCAATCAGTCAAACAATGCTTTATGTAAGACTAATTTTCCGCAATATTATAGGGCCGGATTTTCACCGTCCAAAGCAAATATTCCCCGTAATACACCCAGGCGACCAAAGATTTATCCTCCGAATGCAAGAAACGACAAAAAAGGATGACTTTTGGGGGTTTGACCCAGATTTATCTTGCCTACTTCCCTGCGCCAAACAGGATGGCGATAATAATTCGCATCAGGTTGGCTTCCCAAAGCTTTAAGCCACTAGCCACGCATTGCCCAACAATTCCAACCTGAAACGAAGATCGTCAGAACTAGTGGAGCTTCTTTCTCCGCCACAAACATACAGCTAGTGAAGACTTGGCTGAACATTTGAATTGATCTTCGAAGAGGAGTACAGCATGGATCAAAATCAGATTCACCACCAACACACAGAGGATCTTTCTCATCCCCCTCTTTTGAAACTGCGCTATACCTATTACAGTTAATCAAACTCCGAATCCTTTTCTTGGTAGTATTCCAGTACGGCTGTAAATAACAGCGTAAAAATGGCATGCGTAATACCCTTGTATGGTCTCGGGATTCTAGAACGTGGAGCATGCAAACAAGGCAAACAGAAGGCAATCCTCCTTGTCAGTGTGATAATCTGGCCTCAAATTCAACTTTTCCCCTCTATCAAGTACTCGGCATCCGCAGGAGTGACCACTGTAAAAGAACGACGATAAATACATAAGTATGTAGCAACTCCAACAAATACCTCACTTAGACTCATAAGATCGTAACTCATCAACGACGGCCTTTCAAATGAAGAAACTTCCTTTTGTATACCCTCTTTCATCTAATACTCCAACCAAATTTCACGTTGAATGCTATTTGATGTGTTGCTAGCATCAAGGCAATTCTCGGGAGTCTCAACAATTCTGACAGCCATGCTCTGTCCTTCGGCCATCTCTTGCACAAACTCATCATCCACCACAATTTTGAGCCCAGCTTCATTTTTATGTAGAATGCTAGAAATCTTTAGACTTTGTTTGGCAGGAACTTTTTCCGAAATTTTCATCGTTAGATCTTGAACCGTTCGTGATTTAAGATATAACGCGCGATAGTGCTCACTCGGAGACTGGTTGTTTGTGATAACTCGAATGTAGAAGCATGCGGCTTGATTCAGAGGAAATAGTCAGTTTTACATCCTTTCTAGCTGTTCGACACAATGTTCACTGGGTAGGTCTTACCTGGCATATTACTGGAATGACTTGGTTTCAATAATACTGGTGATACTTCATGGGTCGCTGATTCCCGCAGACTACTCCTGGAGCTTGGCGTGTCCATCTCATTGAATCCGGCTAAATCTGATTTGACAGACGAAGCGTCATCATTTGATGAGCCCCTGCAGTCTATAGAGGCCCTTTTCAGCGGGTCATCATCTGCGTTTAGTGAAGGAGACGGATACAATTCGGGATCATCTTGAGGCCCGCCACGAAGATTTAGAAAACTTTCGGGATGGCTAGAGTAGAGGCATCGTTCGAGGGCGTCTAGTCTCTTCTGCAGTTGCTGCTGGAAGTTTGCTTGCCGGGGAGAATTGTCAAGATTTATTGACATATCGCCTTGACGTTGGAGGTTATTCATCGAGTGACTGAAATCCGGGTTGGACTTTGCGGAAACGCTGCCTCGCTTTCTCTTGTTTAAACATTCGGGTGGCGCGGGATCTTTCATTTGCAGCTGCAGCTTTTCCATTCTTTTCCGGATACTCGCAGCGTCATTGGATAGTTTTCGCTCGGCGCCATGGTCGCGGAAGAGCTTCACATTGCAGAAACAGATTTCTGGTTCTTGAATGCCCGGTTCGCCGAGTTGCTTTGTCTTGGCGCATAGCCTGACCTGAATTCCTTTCACCCCTTTCGAAAGTGTAAAGTCGGTAGATAAGAAGTTGAATCGCACTGGGATACTGCATTGGGGTATCCTGTCGGCCGGCTTGCCAGTCCAGGTAACAGAAAATCCATCATGGGAGACTGGCTCAACGTGCATAGAGGGATTATTATCGCCCACGTATTCAACAGCGTTGAGTTTAAAGTCCCTCTTTTTTGACTCATTTAGCCCTCGCGCTGATTTCCATAATTGCCAATAGGCAGCTGGGTCAGATCGTTGCTGTTCTTCACCGAATGAAATCCGAATAAAGGTTCGGTACTGAGTAGATTCGGCGTTATATACCACAGATGGCATTGTGTCTACCACCCTGAGATGGTACACCTGACCTTTGTTAAGATATGACACAGCCGCCTCGCGCGAATCATCAACCATAGCAGTGGAGGCTAGGAGAGTGGTGGTATAACGGAACCTGAAGGTGCAATATTAAAAGACTTGAACATTGGTAAGATCGTGTTTGAACTTACTGGTTCTGTTCAGGGAAGGACATAGTATTTTGTGAGTTGACGCGGCTGCCACTCACTGAGTGGTTACTTTCCGTTGGGTTCCATGAAAGCTCGTCACTCGAAATACGATTGTAATTAAGCGGCTCAGCTGGGAGTCCCATACTTTCGAAATCAGAACTTGGCTGGGGGAACTGATTCGGTGCATATGCGCCTTGCGTGGAAAAGGAATCCATACTGTTCCAGGTCACCGCGGGATTGATAACATCCAGTGAGCTTGAGTTGGCCCGATCTCCGAATTGATCTCTCGTTTGCGAGCCCAAAATAGATTTAAGATTTTCTTGAGAGATGTTCTTGGAAGGTTGACACCCCTCTACCAAGTCATTGAATGTTGTAGGGGCATCTAATTGCGATGCATAAAAGTCGAGACTGTGGCTTTCAGGTGCTAGACACTGTTCAGGCGCAGTCCCGTCGAATGAGAAGGAAGGGTCGGGTAATTCAAGGCTTCCCTTCGCCTTCTTACAGGCTCTGGCTAGATATGAGATTTTTGTTCGCGGATTATCTGGTAAAGAAATGATTACTTACCCTTCTGAAGGTGTCATATTATTGTCTGCATCAGTAAAAGGGTTTCCTGATTCAAGTTTGTTATTGGTGGTGCCCTCATTGAAAAATGATTTCCCACAGAGCTTTTGAAAGCGGCCAATGAGCTCGCTATCTGGCTTATGAGATCCAGTTCTGTATAATAGGCACAATTATTAAACATTAAAATTCTAAATTGGTATATTGAGTATTGGGCGTACCTGTGACAGAACATTGGTGGGAAGGAGAAAGGAGCTTCTTTCGAAGTTCTATATTAAATTTGTCTAGGGCGGAGCCGATCTGATTGAAAGCTTCAATATTAGGTCGGCTTTCTTTTTACTGGAAAGATAATATGGAGATGGATAGTATTTTATCTGGGGGCGAAGCTACTTATATCAGGCTTATGTGCAAATCGAGGAATCACAGTACTTCTATGGTGCCCCACATGAAGGATGAGATCATGGCTGTATTATCCGCTAAAGTACCACCGGCAAGGTGGAGATGAAAGGACGGGATACTGCGTAGTAGTGGGGGGGAGGGGGGAGCCAACACAACGGGCAACTCCATACCACTGTGGACATGGACCAAGTGGATGTGTTTTCCGTTCCCAGTCCCCAATCCCTGTTACGTGACATGGAGCTTTTGTTGGTCTGCACGTGTTGGATCATTCATCCGCTTCCCCCTCATAGCTTTCTCGCGTCATTGCAGATCCTCGTCTCCTTTGTTTGGTTCCGATTGATGACTGGTGTCTGATAGTTCTGCGAATTAAATCACATCCCGGGGCATTGGATTGATCCATACATTATCAGCTCCTTTGTTGGTGACAGCACGTAATATAAGAGTACATACCAGGGTGGTCCATGTGTGGCGCTTGCACCCAGAACCAACAGGAGCAATGATACACACGCATGCGTCCCCGATCAGCGAACCTCAACAATTTTTGAACTTCATTGGTCGGCTACTCTTTCCGGAGGAAATCGCCTCTCAAAGTGGAGACTTGGCTCCACTCAATGGACCAGCAATGTCAAAAGCTGATATGAAATATGCCATGGCATTTTTAGCTATTGGAGAGACAGTCTTAGGTGCCCCCACACAATGTGAGGGCACGAATTTCTGACTTTATCTTTTCGACTGAAACCTCCCTCCTCGGTACTGTACTGCGGGCACCGTAGAAGTGAATGGAAGGATCGACGCAACTCCCCCACCTTTCTCATTGAGGCATTAACTCCGTAAAGGGCCTCGATCTCATTTTTTGTGTTCGATTATGTACTTTTGATTTTTGATATGATGTCATAGAAAGCTGAGAAAAAAGGATCCTCGGGAGCTTCTGTCAGGGTACACTTTTAGCGCCCTGTTCTGAGCCGCACTGACATTGGGAAAAGCCGCCGTATCATGAACAAACACATCGCGAAAAGGCACAATTAATTATTTTACAAGGCACGGAAGAAATCCATCACAATTGATATTTGGCTGGATTGAGTGAGAGTCCAATTCTCGAATTCAATCCCGTTCCTGACTTTTGGCGCCTCGGAGACTTTCTCAAATGACGCGCAGGGATTTCAGAATCCAGGCATTTGGAAAAGCCGAGAATTTAAGCCCGGCGTAAAATATTCTAAAATATCGAGCGTTGGGCCCTGGAATGATGTTTCATCACGCGCGATGTTCCGGATCTAATCTATGTACACTACTCCTTTTGGTAAAGCGAAACTCCGTACATGTACGTATTAATGTGCGGGAACCAAGCTCATTTGACTAAAAGGCCCATAGGCAACTTCCCGTCTTAGCAAGACCCACACAAATTCAGATTTAGGATTCATCAATGTAAAGAAAGCCTGCGTGTCTTGGGGTGAGGTAAACTATTTACGAATTCCACTGTACCAGCATGTTGGGAAAGGTCATTAAAGCGATCTTACCTGATTTGGTGCAGTATGATCGCCGAAAGAAATTACAGCTCATTTCGAACCCATGCGAAGAGATAATGCAGCATGCCAGTACAGACTATTCTCTAATCACTGTATATAAAATATCTAGACTAAATGAAAATTTTCGTTGCAAGTAGCTTCTTTGCGTCGTCGCACCCACAGGCCGATGTCGCGAACGAATCGCCTGGCGGCACCTACTTTCACGCCGTGCTTAACAAAGAAACCTGGGTCTTGATCCTCATAAATCTGCATGAGGTCGAGACAGTTGTCGAGGGTCACATCGCGTGCTTTATTGATGTTCTCCCTAAAAGCCTCGTTGCTCACCCGCGATTGCTGCCATTCTGTATAATCGTCCACAGCGACATCTAGCAGGCCGTCGATTATGATTGATTCGGTGTAGCTGGGCCCGGTTGGCATGGTAGGATTAGCAGGAGGCTGTATCGATTGTTGAGATCCAGCCGGAAGGACATTGATATTGATTGGAGGACACACTGAACCCGATGTGGAGTTCTCCGCAGCTTTCTTTTTCCTGTCCAGTCGCTGGTTCTCTTCGGCACAGAGCTGCTCGCGAACACTATCAGGGACATCAGCGTGGGTCTCGAGAACCCCACCTTGCTCCACATATTTGACGAGGGCCTTCAGATGGTGTGTCTTCAATCTATGGTGCCTTTTTCCCTCTGGATCTTGCCAGCAGTATTGTCCTTCGTGGCGACATGGAGGCCCAGGACATCGCATAACACGATACACATCGCGCCAGACGGAATGTTGGCCGGTGACCTGCTCGGCGTCAATCTGAGCGTCTCGGTCAGCGAGCATCCGTGTAGTCACCGATGACTTTCCTCGCTTGTCCGTTCTAGAAAGAAGAGGTCCACTGTCTTCTATGTAGTTGATCGATATTTGGAGCCGGATCTTCTTGCCACGACGGAAAAGATAGGCCCACGCTAGCAGCTGTTTCTCCACCGCGGTCCAATCAATACTAGTGCCTTCAAAGTGTTTGTCAATGTTCCGTTGGGAGTTCACCGATAAGACCATGTCAGTATCATCTAGCCTCACCCGTCGGCCACGTGCTGTCTTCCGCCCTAGAATCGTACAAGCATCCTCTTTTATCTGTTCCCAATAGGATCTAGGTGGTTGAACAAGGTCTTGTTTTGTATCCTTTACCACAACTCGATTGTTCAATTTGACCCTCCACTCGATCTGGTAGTGGATACAGTCCGGAGATTGTTCATCCCATGCACTTCCATCTGCACGTTCAACCACAGGATCAAAACTCTGCTGGTCCGATAGATGTTGATGCAAGGAAGGTGAACATTCACCAACTACGTCCTCAGAATCGGATGAAGAGCAGATTATTGATGGCGTCCATTCGCGGTCTGGGTAACCAGGGGTAGGGGCATACGAGGGAGTTCGTTCCCATAGATGGGGCAGTTCAGGTCGGTAAGCATCATCGTCATCATCATCGTTGAAAGGAGTGTGAGTCATCCCCCCAAGGCAGAAGATGCCACTGAGGAGTCTATAATATGTCTTTGTCAGCTTCCACCAAGGGTGTTGCGGGGCGTGTAGAAGAGAGGACTGTAGCTGACAGGCTGAGTATTATGATAAGCGGGTTCATGGGTAGTCTGTAAGGACAGTAAGTAAGTACTGCAAGTCACTATTTGCTGGTTGGGTGCCGAGTAAGCCCCCCCGACCGACTTGGACATAGGAACAGAAGTGAAGTGGCAGATGGCCAGATTCTCGAGGGACTCCAAATCTCTAGTGTTTGACTTGTTTACATATCCATGGAAAATTCTAGTTTACTTGGATCGCCAATACAATCACAAGACGAAACAGCGTACTTGAACCAAGGTAAATCACGGTATCAAGACTGATACGGGAATATTAATATTCCGGGCCTTTGCCTAATATGGTCTAGTGTTTCTTGGCCGTGGGGCTAAATAATCATTGAAAGAGTGGAGGCGGTTGCACCAGTTTTGGGACGTACTGTAGCATGGGGAACAAAACCTCTATGATCTCTACCGATCGTGATTAGCGAAGGCACTCGGACCTCTAATTTTGACTTACCCTTAGCTTCTAGTCCTCGACTTTGTTTTAGAAAGCGTTTCAAGGACCTTCGACAGTCAATTGTGGAATTTTTCAATTTTGAGAGGATCGCGAGGTGATTTACCGGTAGCTGATTGACTGTGGAGACCAATGATGGACAGCGGTGGAGTCTCTATTGGAGCGCGACGAAATCATTTTCCGACGACGGACTCGGCGTCGACATCTCTTCATCGATGGTACCTCGGCCGGCTTGTGGGCATGGGCACACGAAGTACCCTGGTCATCCTGTGCTGGCAAGCGAAATAAAGATCTGGGCGGCATGACGCGTTGCAGTGACTGCGACTTGCGACGAAAAATATGTCGGCTAGGCTGAGGGAAATCATTTTTCTCTCACGGGGCGAGAACAGAAATTTTGCAGGCGAAAAATTCTGCGGATGGGCAAGCGATTTGCCAAGGCGAGACTTCCATGGAACGACTCTACATATTAGCTGCGTGAAAACCGTTTCACATCGTTGAGCAATGTTAAGACCAATGATTCGCAAATCGATTGGCTACAGTGCGAGCGAACATTGGCAGACTTCTGGAGCCACAAGAGATTAAGCTGCCAGGGCGACTAGCCCATGGCATGCCACTTCAGTCTAAACCTCATACCAACTGCGTTGCAGGCCGTTTAAGCCAGGTGAATCAATGTTGATGAGGCAAATGATTTGTCACGCATAGCTTCGTATCAACCACGGCTCCAGGTGGATCCGGCCACTCCGCCCGCTCTCCACTCCAAACTCTTGAAATTTCTTATTTCAACGTTGATAAACCGCCTCAACACCCACGAAATTAGGGTCGCCCGGTGCGAATTTGAAGTCAAATCTCTGGACTCGGCAAAATGTACGCAAGTGGTCGCTGCCGAAACCCCTACTCAGAATAGCATAAAAGACGCTCTTTTCCCGTCGAAAAGAAAAGCAGGACTTTCCTCCTCACACTCCGGGCCTCGCAGCCTTGGGGTGTCTTTTGCAGGTAAGATCTGCGTTACCAAGTACTCTTCGCAGGACGGGCTCTGCGTGATCAAGTGTGCCTCGCAGGAGACCGCTGCGTCACCAAGTTCTCCCTCGCAGCAATGAGCCCTGCGATTGTAAGAGTGCGCTCCCTCGCAGCCCATGAGCCCTGTGTTGTATAAATGCGCTCCCTCACAGCCAATGAGCCCTGTGTTGTATAAATGTGCTCCCTCACAGCCAATGAGCCCTGTGTTGTACAAATGTGCTCCGCGGGGACCTCCGCG